ACACGCGCACACGCGCCTCCGTCCCACACCACGCACTCACTCGCGCCGCTCCCGAGCACACGCTCCACACGAGCACACGAGCACACGCTACTCTCTCCCACGAGCCACTCTCTCACCAGCCAACACCACGCTCTCCCACCACCTGCGCGAGCGCTCCCGCAACGCGCCCACTCTCTCCCACCGCTCACGCGCACTCTCGCGACCACTCTCGAGCCACTCTCCGCACGCCACTCTCTCCCCTCGCGCCCACGTCGCTTCCACGCACTCTCTCCCACGCGCCACTCCTCTCCGCCCAGCCTCACGCGAGACAACGGCGCCACTCTCGTCCGCCCACGCGCGACCAGCCACTTCCACTCGCTCCCACCCACGCGCGCCCACAGCCAAATGCTCACTCCCACTTCCCAAACCTCCCACAGAGGCCCCCACGCGCGGCCCACTGTCGCACAACCACCCGCGCCCACGCCGCCTCTCCCGCACCACGCGCTCCACCCCAAACGAGCCCCACGCGCGCCACAACACCGCCCGTGGGCCGCGCGCCCACGCAACGAGCGCAAACGCGCTCAGCCACGAGCGCCCACGCGAGCCACGCCACGGCGCCAACGCCAAGAGGTGCGACCACGGCCAAAGCGCGCCCACGACAAAGCGACCACGACACGAGGAGAACAAGCAAAGACGCGAACAACGCCACGCGAAGAAAACGGCACAAGGCGCCAAAGAAAAGAGCGCCAAGGCAAAGACGCCCACGCCAAGAAGGACCACGAATACGCGCGCCAACGCAACGGAGCGACAAACGCCAAGCAATGGCGAGCCCAAAAGCGCGACCACGCCAAGAGAGACCGCGCCTCGAAATGCCCGACGAAAAGCTCTCGCCCCTCCGCACCCGAAGCGAAAACTTCCCAAAGCGCCTCCCGAGCAAACGACAAGCGAGACCAAGAGAGAAAAGACAAGAGCAAAGCTCCCTCTCTCCCCCTCTCTAGGAGGACAAAAAGCCCCGAGGAGACCCGCGAGCTCTCCTCTTAGCCCCTCGCTCCCCCCCTCTCAAAAGGTCGGCGGAGACCCCTCCCACCAGAGCGCCCCCTGCGAGAGCGAAAAGCGAGACATCGCCCCCGGCTGCGCCCGCCCCCGCGCGCCCCTCGCCCTCCCTCGCTCGCCCGCCGCAACTCGCGGCCTCCCTCGCTCCCCCCCGCTCTCCCCCCCTCGCGACCGCACGAGACCCCTCTCTCCCCCCCTCTCTCCCCCCCCTCGCCCCCCTCTCGCCCTCCGCGCGCCCCCCCCTCGCGAGCCCGCTCTTCCCCCCCTCTCTCCCCACCCACTTCCCCCCCCTCTCCCACCGCCCCCCCCCGACCTCTGCCCCCGCGCGCCCTCCTCTCGCGCCCCCTCTCCCGGCCCGCGCCCCCCGGGAGCGCCCCCCCGGGCGGCCCACCCTCGCGCCCCCCCCCGTGAGCGCCGCCCCCCACGCGAGCGCCCCCCGTCGCGCCCCCCCGCGAGCCACCCTCTCGCCCCACGCGCGCCCCTCCCTCCGCCCTCCGCCCCCCGCCCCCCCACTCCCCCCACTTCCCCCGCGCTCCCCCAGCCCCCCCCCGAGCCCCCCCGGAGCCCGCACCGCGCGCCACTCCCGGCTGCCAGACTCCCCCACGCCCCGCCGCGCGCCCTACTCCCCCGCCCGCCCCCACGCCCCCACGCCCCCCCACGCCCCCACTCCCCCAACTCCCCCACTCCCCCACTAACCCCCACTCCCCCACGCCCCCACGCCCCACCGCCCCCACGCCCCCACGCCCCCCCCACGCCCCCCACCCCCACGCCCCCACCCCACTCCCCGCACCCACACGCCCCCACCCCCCGCCGCCCCCACGCCCCCACGCCCCCACCCGCCACCACGCCCACTCGGCCCCCCCCCCCCCCCACGCCCCCACGCCCACGCCCGCGCGCCCGCACGCCCGCACTCACGGCACGCACCCTCACTCACTCAAGCACTCACTCACGCACTCACGCCGCACAATCACACGCACACACCTCGCGAGACAAGAAGCAACCGAACATGGAGACACCCCTATGTTAAACTAATCCCGAGACCCGAAACCCTAAACCCTAACCCCTAAACACCTCAACCCCTAAACCCCGAAACCCGAAACCCCTAAACCCCCCCGAAAGCCCCTAAACCCCTAAACCCCCTAAAACCCCAAACCCTAAACCCCTAAACCCCTAACCCCTAAACCCCTAAACCCCTAAACCCCTAAACCCCTTAAACCCCTAAAACCCCTAAACCCCTAACCCCTAACCCTAAACCCCCCCTAAACCCCTAAACCCCTAAACCCTGAACAAGTTCTCAGAGTCACATCCTGGACCCTGAATTCGAGGCCCAAAGGTTCGGAGGTTCAGAAACCCCAAACTGCCACCCCAAACCTTACTAAGCCGTACACTCCGACACTTCACACGAATCTCACAATCTATATGGATCACTGCTGCTAGTACTAGTCTTAGTCTTGATTAAAGTTGTTTTGTTATGGTGATTATCATTGTTTTTCTAGTAGTGTTCGAAACACAACACAAACCTCCAGCGAAAAACCCGCAGAAACCGAAAACAGCCACACACCAAGCTCCAAAAGGCCAAAGAGGAAAAGGCCCAAGAGGAGGGCGAGCGCGGCACGCCCCCGTCATCTGGAGGCCAGAAGGGGGCGTCTTAGGGTTTAGGGTTTAGGGTTTGGGACTGGGGATCGTGCTGAGGGCTGCTGAGGGTGTACGCTGCCGAAAGGCTCGGCAATGGTGGTGAGGCTGCTTGCTTGGTCATAATTTCGCGGCATTGGTGGCGTGAAGAGATTAGGGTTTTGGGAGTGGCTTTGTTTTTCTTGTGGGTTTATTGTTGTGATATTCTGAATAGTTTTTTTCAGAGCATAGCAATATGTTTTAAATCGTAATGGTTTTTGGCCGAGGGCGGGGGGGGGGGGGTTAGAATGTTAGGGTTAAGGGTTCAAAGTTTTGGCCATGCTTCAGAAGACATCCTTGCGCTTGTCTGGTTAAGGTCGGCTTAGTGTTTGGGGAGGCCGTGCCCGCATAGTCAGCATGTTCTGAACTGCAATGCAAGGCTTTGGGGTAGGTGCTTTACTTGTAGGAAAGGGCTGCATGGCTTTGTCTTGAGTGGCAACCCTGTACCAGCCTACACCTGAAACACGAAGCCGTGATTGCAAGCCGGGAAGTGTTGAGCCGCAACTGCTTCGGGTTAGGACAATCCAAAAGAGGTTGCAACCCTGAACTGGGTTCAGGGCTTCGTTGACTTTACCCTACAAACTGCCAAAAGCCCCCGAAAGGGAAGGGGCCTCCAAGACCCTAAGGAACCCTTTTAGGGTTTAGGGTTTAGGGTTTTTGAGATTCCGAAATCCTGGACATGCCTTTCGCCGCCAGGGGCAGCGGGCCAGCAGCAGCAGGAGCGAAAGCATCGAGAGAGAGGGTCTGGGGGGGGGTTTCGGGATGCAGATGCTAACCTGAACCCTAAACCTGAATTTGAGACGATGTGGGTTGTTTCGGGGTTGGAACACCATTGTTTTGGGGTTCAGGCTTTCATCTTGGCTGGGCAGGGCGCATGCCATGAGCCGCTGCCGCATCAGCTTGCCGCAGGAGAAGGTGTTCTATTGCAGATCCACGGACCATGTGGTTTTGCAAGACTGCCTCTTGGATTAGCTTTGCTGGCGGGAAGCAACCCAGAAAAGGGATTCAGGGATGTACCTGGAACTTGCAGGCTTATAGGGAAGAGTTTCATGCCAGATCTCATACCGGAATCGCCGACTCTGAAAGGGGGACTTCGCCGCACGTTGTGTCTAGTTGAGGTATTCCCTTATGATCCCTACACAACTATATTTGTACTGTACTGACCCAACCCTCTTTTTTAGCGAGGCCACTATATTCGGTTTTTAAGCGCCTCCAAGGTGTCCAGCAGATTGTCAAGAAGGCGCGATTGGTTGAAACTTTTGGGGCAGGGGGGGGGGGGAGCTTGCAACAGCACCAAACCCCAAAGTTCCTGCCCTCTGGCCCAATATATGAAGACCACAAGATACGATCTCCCCCAAGCCATGGGCAGATGCAGATTCTCCACCAGAATCTTGACATGGTCGAGAGGAGCTTCGCCGAGGCTAGCAACAGATGGGGGAGACAGAGTGCAGCCACGATGGTTTAGGGTTGGGTTTAGGGTTTAGGGTTTAGGGTTTAGGGTTTAGGGTTTAGGGTTTAGGGTTTAGGGTTTAGGGTTTAGGGTTTAGGGTTTAGGGTTCCTGAAAGGTGTGCGAGCCTGAGCCCTAAGAGCTTGACACCATGAAGCCCAAGCCCTGACTTGTGCCCAGGCGTCGCAGTGAGTGGCACTTGCATATCGCCAAATTGCAGGCCCTTGTGCCCGCAGAAATCGGGTTTCCCCTAATCTTCGTGCAGAAAGAGCAGCATGCTGCAAATGTGCACTATGTACAGGCTTAATTCGCCGATCGAATTTTGCATCACACGTAGTCTCCACGTCCTGCTGATCTGGCTGCCCTGGCCCGATATCTACCGGAAGTCTCCTCCACATCCCCCTCAGAACCGGGCGCTGTAGAGGCCTTTTCCTTCCAACCTTTGGCAACCGAAGGTCATGATGTCAACATAGGCACACACATGGCAGAAGCTAAACCCCTAAACCCCAAGCCTTAAACCCTAAACCCTAAGCCCTAAGCCCTAAACCCTAAACCCTAAACCCTATACTCCCTTGAAGCTTGGAATCGAGGCCGGAAGTGCCTGCATGGCCCATCTCACTCACAGCCAGCGTAGTGCAGGTGCTTTAACCACGCTGTGGATCGCCCCCCCGTTGATACGGAAGTGCCGAAAGAAGCTCTTTTTTTTTGTGCCCCATGGGACCCAAGTTTCAGGAGAGATAAACCTGGAAACCCTAAACCATTAAACCCTAAAACCCTAAACCCTAAACCCTAAACCCTATAAAGCCTCAACCCTAAACAACCCCCCCAAAAAGCCACACGTGAGCTGAGGCGGCTCAGGAGTTCCAGCGGCGCGCGGCCGGCGAGGTGGGGGCATACTTGAGACCCTACTTGGAAGTTCATGGTGGGTGTTATAACGGGGCCTTATAGGGTTTAGGGTTTAGGAGGTTTAGGGCTTAGGGTTTAGGGTTTAGGGTTTAGGGTTTAGGGTTTAGGGTTTAGGGTAGCAATATCTAGGATGGAGGGTTTTGTGAGTGTTGTAAATAGGGTTGTGGGCTTGGAATGCACAACTGGGGTTATACGGGTTTGGGGGGGTGTATTTAGTTAAAGCTGGAAGTCGCGTACAGAATCCATCATCTTTGTTGGTGTACAGCCTTACAATTAGGGTGCTTCCAACCCTCCCTACAACCTTGTAGTACTTGGAGGCTCAGGACTCGTCTGTGGGTTTAAGGGGTTCTTTGAGGGCTCATGGGTACCTAGAAGTAGCGTTGTAGGTCTAGCTCCGGGGGAATATCTACTTAGGGAACTTCTGGGGGGCTATTGAGCTGCCAGGTCAGTGGAGCTCACCTAAGCCGCGGGAGTTTTGTGAGCCCAAGCCCTAAACCCACGCCCTAAGCCCCCAAGCCCAACAAATCTCCTGAACAGTTTTGGGCTTCCATTTCAGATCGAACCCTTTGGCGTAGGGCTGGAACGCTTTGGCTTAGTGCTCCAAACGAATCCCTTGGGACAGGTTTGGGCTTCGCGTTGCGCATGCCCTGCGCAACCTAAATTCTGTAAGCCCTAAACACCCCAACCTCCTGACGATCCTAAGCCCTTAACCCCCTTAACCATGACCATATACCCTAAACCGTGAGCCCCGGTAAACCCTATATGCATGCGCGCTCCGCATTCTCAACCCCCCCCCCCCCCCCACACCCCAAATCCTAAACCCTACAGCCCAACCCCAATAGGCCCTAAACACCATAAACCCCATACCCGCCATGAACGACAGACCAAAACCCTAAACCCTACGGCCTAACCCCTAAACACCATAGACCATGAACCACTTGGGGGAAGCGGGTGGGGGTGGGAGGGGGAGAGGGGAGAAGCGGCCCCCAAGGTCCCCCAAACAACAGATCCGGAGGCCGGCGCGATCCTGGCGCGAACTTTCGGCATGCTCGGGGCCACAGCTTGAAGCCCAAGGATTCAACAGCCTCGGGTAGGGCTGTGAGGGCTTTTTAGGGCTCGTTAGAGACTTAGAGACCTCAGAAAGCTCCCTGAGTTATGCCTACAAAACCCCCCCCCCTTTTTCCAGAGCCCCCAAACTGAACCCCCAAGCTCCCTCAACCCGAAGGCCCAAAGACCCTTACCTAAGCCCTATTCCCTAGAGACCCCGACCCTGAACGCCCAACTTGCGGCTTAAAAGCCGCCGAGGCTCTTCTTGACCCTGGCCTTCGGAGATGTGCCCCTGGCGTTTGGGGCCTCGCAGCTGCTCTTCGCCACGGCCCCTTGGCCGATGGGGCCTTTCAGGGGCTCAAGGGGTTTAAAGATGGGAGGGGGTCTGGGGTTGGCCTTTGGGGTGTGGAGGGCTTAAGGGGGTTGATCTCAACACCCGGAACTGTGGCTGGGGAGCAGTTTGCATGAATTACGGGACGTCCCGTCCGGGGAGCTGCCTCGAAGCCAGTTGTGGAGGTCCTAAACCCCACAACCCTACAGGCCTCAACCCTGCGGGGTGATAGGATACCGAGGAGTAGCCTGGGGCCGAAGAGCTTCAAAATTCCAGGGCCTCATAAAAGCAATGAGAAGCTGTTTCGGTGGCACCACGCTGCCCTCAGGTGTGGCTGGCTTGGCTGGCCTGGCCTTGTGTCATGGGTGAGAAGGACACGTATCCAAAGCAGTGGTTGCAGGTTCATATGAGATTCACATCATACCTGTGGTACACGTAAGTCTAGTGTGGGATGGTTAGAAAGTACCACAGGGTTACATGTCGGGTTACTTGTGCACTTGACTTTGCTTGATAACCCTGCTATAAGTAAATACTCACGAATCTTCAGGTACTCCCTAAACCCACCCCAGTCTTGTCTTGGGCTTGCTTAGGTGGACCTCGTTCAGGGTTTTGGGGTGCCGAGAAGACCCCCCCCCAACCCAAAACCACAACTCCCGCAGCCTGAGCCCCAAGAGCGAAGTTCAGAGCTTCATGGAGAGGAGCACCTGTGGCAGCCAAGTCTCTTAGCGGGCGGCGCGCTGGTGTGGGGTTCTCGGATGGGGGCCGGCTCCAGGGCAAATTCTTAGAAGCGGTGTTCGTGCAGCTTGGCCGCGCCAGAAAAGTCCCCCCCCCCCCCACAACACTAAACCCTAAATGTAGCGTAGTCAAAGCAGCTTGAAAAAGTGAGCATGGAGGAAAGGCCTCGTTTCTTAGAGGTTTTCCGAGTACGGAAGCAACCTAGAAGCATCCATCTGAAGTGTCTAGATTCTGCATGCCTTCGAACTTCGAGCGCAACCCACGTGGGAACCGGAAGCAAGGATAAAAGAACACGGTCTCGGGTTCCAGGCTTTACCCCTGAACTCACGAGGCCCCTCTAACACCCTGCACACCTAAGGCTGCCACACCACTGGGCACTCCTCGTGGAGTTTGCGGGGATGGTGTTGCTGAAGTTGGCACTCACAGAGGCCTTTGCGTAGAGTTGATGGGGGGACCTGGGTTTCGGAAGTTTTCGGCGCTCTCTGTGTGTGTGTGTGTGTTTTTTTTTTTTTTTTTTTTTTTTTTGTGTGTGTGTGTGTGTGTGTGCTTTTTCAGCTTCAGAGTTGGAGCGAAGCATTCAGCTGAAGAGCAGCTATGATACGCAGAGTTCGATGTCTGGGGCCAGCGCGTTCGCTGCTTCGTGAAGCTAGCGAGCTGTGGTCAGGAACCTGGTAGACTAAGCTTACGTAAGAACGGCCTATACCCCAGCATCTTCATTATCGGTTTAAGTACAGTGTGCCGACCTGTGAGGAGACCTGGTATACGCGTGGGGCAGGGGATGTCCGAAGGGCACCGCCCATGCCAAAGCCTAAACGAGCCCTAAAGACGCGACCCTACGCCTGGCAGGGAGAGAAGATGCTCCTGCTGGTGCTGTTTACCGAACAGGATTGGGGGGTTTTCGGCGCGGGCCTCGGCGAGGCTTCAAGGACTGAGGCTTCGTACCCAGATATATGTATGTATAATTATATATATATATATATATATATATATATATTATTTTATTTATATTATATTATATTATATTATATTATATTATATTATATTATATTATATTATATTATATTATATTCTATTATATACATACATACTCGTACTATATATAGTTTTGCATTATATTGTAACCTAGTTATAGTTATATATACATGTGTGTGTATATATATATATATATATATATATATATATATAATATTTTTTCAGGGTTTAGGGTTCCTGTTTGAGATTCCCCCCCCCCCCCTCCCCTTTCTCAACTGTTGATGCAGGCGTCACTTCCGAGCGCCCATGAGCCCAGGAGACAGGAGTCCCAGCTTCTACCTGCACCGCCCACAATTCCCCCCCCCCCCCCCCATGTTGTTCTTAGGGGTTTTCGGGGGTTGAGGATTGGTGTTGAAAGGGGGAGGGTTAGGCCCTTCCTGAAAACCTTGAGGTTCCAGAGCTCCCCCAGAAAATGCCTGAGCCTCATTGACCCATTAACCGCCACATAAACCCATAAATGCTGCCCTTTGGCCCAAGGTTTGGTGTCGAACCTCGGCTCCATCATCCTCCGCTTGCTCTTTGCCCCCATCGAGGAGCCCGCCGAACCCCCCCCCCCCAGGAGTTCGCCCTGCACGCCACAAGCGCGAATGCCCAAGGGACTGCAGACCTTCCCCTTTGGCTCCCTAAGACCCTGCAGAGCCCAGGATCTGGCCTGAACCCCAGGGAAAACGAGGCCAAGTGGCCCTGGAATATTCATTCGTGCACGTTCAAGGGCCTCGCCTTCGAGCACCGCAAAGGCTAGAACCCTCGAAGCCCTGGAGACCCTGGAGCCCATAAGAGCTCCCTAAAAGCCCCACCCAAAGGAGATAGCGTACAGTGTCTTCTCGGCGGCTGGCCCCAACAACTCGAGGTGCAGCCAGCATCTCAACTGTTTATTTGGCTATGGTGTTTGGGCCATAGAGATTTTAGTGTGCTGCTCCTGGTCTAGCTGGTTCGGGTTGACCCCAAACCCTTCCATGAATGAATGAGCCCCCAAGCCGGGGGCCCAATACCTCAGAGGCTCTTGTGTGTTTGAAACGTGTTGTGGACAATCCTCTATCAGATGCTGCACGTGGCTCATGGCTCATGAGTAGCGGCTGGTTACCTTTGCTTAAGCTTTTAGGAGACTTGACTGCACCGCAACCGCTTCTTGAAGATCATCGCATGATCTTTCTTCGCTGCAGGGACGCCCAGACCACGATGCTGCGTGCACTTCTGCTGCTTCAAGGACTGCACCGATGCGCCAAGAAGTCCTCTGTATTTCCAGCGTTTTTGCCTCTTTATACAACATGCTGCAAAAGGATGTTTGACGCTTCCTGTTTCTGGAGCAAGAGGCGCTATCACAAGCCTGTTTGCCTCTGTCTACATGCTGCCAACAAAGTTTGCGAACCTGTCAAGGCTTGTCGGGATGCGGCCATGAGTCTTTGCAACTCAGGTACAAGGGCCCCTCCTAAAGCCTAAACCATGAAACCCAAGACCCCAGAGCCCTGCAGGAGGCGTTGGCTGGCTGGGGCTGTGCTATGGGCTGTGTCCTGAGAGCTGACTTGCAGTCTATCGGGCTTAAGGTTTGGTGTTTTGCTCTCTGGGCTCTTTTCAGCTTCTCATATGCATTCAAAAGAAGGGAATCGGGTCTGGAACCTTATCCACCAGATATTGAAGCAAGGAATAAACTTTCAACGTTGGGGTTGTGCGTCTACCAGAACCACTACGGTTGGAAGTATTTCCAGCAGCGCCTCTTGGAACTGCTGGAAATTCTTTGTCTGAAAGGACTCGGCGGAAGCATTTTTCAGCATGCAAGCCGCAGCTTTTGATCGAGACAGCCGCGCAGTGCTTCCGGTCGCCTGAGGCCTCACTTCGCCGGTCTGGCTGTCCGTCCGGACCCGAGCCTACTTTGGAGGTTCATGGGTAGATGTAAGTGGGGATACAAGTAATTAGAGTAGCTATAATGATAACTGGTTGTAGCCTTATTTAGGGTACTTGTAGCCCTACTTATAACTACTCGTGAAGCTTCAAGTAAAGCTGTCGTGTTTGGCATCAGTTATGAGTCCTATAGATGCCAAACCCCCAACGACGGAACAAAACGAACGACACCCTCAACAGTAAACCCTCAGTACGGAAACCCTGTCCTCAACCCTCTCACAACCCTCAACACCCTCAAAGTCCTCGACACCCTGAACACCCTCAACACACGCAGAACCCTCAGAACCCTCAACACCCTTGGAGCCCCAACTACGAAGCTCCTCTGAGAGCCGCCCGGGAAGGCGCGCGAAGCCCTAAACCCTATTAACCCTAAACCCTGCACCCTAAACCTTCTAAACCCGAAACCCGAAACCCTGAACCAAAAACCCTATAAACCCTAAACCCTACACCCCTCCTCCTGGTGTCTGAGGCCTCCTCTACGGGCAGAGCTGGGCCGACTCGGAGGCCTCCTTATGTTCCAAAGGGGCGCAAGCCCCTCCCCCTGAAAGGGTTGACAGGGTTGCGGTTTGGGGTTTAGGGGGGGTGTTTGGGGTACTCTTTACGGCATTTAGGGTGTGTTAGGCTTGTGCCCTTACAAGGTTTAGGGGGTTTAGGGTTGTGCCCTTATAGGGTTTAGGGTTAGGGTGTGTAGGCTTGAGCCCTTATGAAGGGTTTAGGGCCTTTGAGGGGGTCTCGGGGCACCTTTTCCGAGTATTCGTTAGTTCCCGTTCCCTCGTTGATGAATGACGGAGCCCTGGCTTTAAGCATGTTTTGGGATGTGGTTGAAGCCTCCAGCCGTTGGAGCCTGCGCTGCCCCAATCCTGTCAGCAGGCTCCCATGGTGCTCGCGGCCTACTGTGCAGTGGCCTCGTGCGCAGGGTTTTCGGGCCTTAGCTCGGGAGCTCACCCCTCCCCGCCCCCCCAACCCTAAGCCCCCAAACCCTATGAAAACCCTGCATGCAAACCCCCAAACCCTAAACTCTAAAAACCGCTCAAACCCAACAAACCTTCGGCTAAGAACCCCCGGAGCCGCAAAGGCCTTCCTCTTCTGCGCCGCGGCGAATGGCATCCTCGAGGTTGCTCTTTGATTTGCAGGATTCTGGTTTCGGGTTTAGAGGTTTGCGGGTTTAGGGTATAAGGTTTAGGGGTTTGTGGTTTAGGGTTTCGGGGTTCTAGCAAGGTTTTGGGGCATTATTGGGGGGCGAATGGTTTTGTGTAAGTGACTGGTTTGAGGGTCCAGTTTGGCGATTCAGATTTAGGGTTTAGGGCAGGGTTTTAGGTATTGGGCCCTTGCTTCGGGGTGCAGAGTTTACAGGAACCCTGAACCTCACAACAACTTGCAGACTGGCTTTCGGCTCATGGATAGGTCTCTAAAGAAGAGGTGGAGAAGAGGCTCCTCTTCTTGTCCTTGTTTGCTTTTCTCGCGGTGCCCTCAGAGCAGGGATTCTCAAGAGCTCTCTGCGATCCAGCCCTACCTCAGGGACCCCAAGTTGGGAGGTTCTCCCTTATACCAACAGTCCTTAATAGGGATTATAGTACCCCCTATTATCATCCCTACTAAGGACTGTTAGCATAAGGCGGAACATCCCAAACCCGAAGTCTTATTGTCGGCCTGAAGCATGGACAGGCCTTCATGTACTCGCAGTGCCCGCCTGAATGGGTGCGGCAATGCACCTTCTGGCAGGCCCTTCTCATCTCACGGGGATGGGAGGTGGGGCTTTGGGGGTTCAAGGTGACACCCTAAATCCTGACTTTCTTAGCCAACACAGTTGCGCTTTTGATTTGCGGACTTTTCCGGGAGCACTATCAAGCGTAGTTGTGGGAGGAGCTAGCTTAACTCTGTTATGGGTGTTTGTTTGGGAGGCGTTCAGGGTTTAGGGGAGATCTGAGAGCCGAATTGAGGTCAACTCCCACAAGCCTACACCCTGGACTTCAGCATGTGATCGGCTCACACGGGCTCTACAAGGTCACCCCAAAGCCCTTGCCCCTCAAAGATTGCATACACACGCGTACCAGGGGGTTTAGGGTCTGTTGTGGTGGCTTAGGGGCCGAGTCGGCAGGTTGGCATTTCCTTCGTCCTCCTCGGCGTGTCCTGGGTGCCGGGCTTGGAGTTTGGAGTTTGGCGCTTGGGGCGATTGGGGGCTCAGGAGACCCAGGTTCGCCGCAAGAAAAAAAGGTTTCGGCCTCCTCCAGCAGAGGACGATGCTGAGTGTTCATGTTTCTTCTCAAGTCTGCAAGCCCTTAAATGAGCCTTCTGCAGTTTCGGGGGGGGGGGGGTTTGGGGTTACTTGCAACTCTAGAGTTATAGACCATATAAAGGTGCTGAGGGTTTGGACCTCAAACTCCAAGCCCTTGGACCAGAAACCCGGAACTTCGAATCTCAAGTCCGAAGACCCCGAAGCCCTGAACGCGACACCCTAACACAAACCACCAAATAACAAGCCCCCTTAAACAAAAACCTTAAACCCCCCCCCCCCCCCCCCAAAAAAAAAAAAAATAACCAAAAAAAAACTTTCTAAAAGCCCAAGAGCACCCAAAAGCCTGCCACTCCAACCTCTCGAGGCATTTCGCGGGTGGGGCCCGGTCGCCCTCGTCGGGGCCAACAGCCTGGCCATGCTCCTGCGCGCGGGGCTAGGCGGGGGATTTCAGGTGTTTTCAGGGGTTAGGGTTTAGAAGTTAGGGTTTAGGATTTAGGGTTTAGAAGTTAGGGTTTAGGGGTTAGGGTTTAGGGTTTAGGTTTAGAAATTAGGGTTTAGGGTTTGGGGTGCTCCAAAGGGGCTTGGTGGGTTGAGGTGTCTAGGGGGGGTTTGGGCCTCATACCCCCTTTCATGAGCCTTGCATGAGACCCCTAATCCGGCCTAGGGCTTTGGATTCCAAACAGCAGAGAGAGCTTCGGGTTGTAAGGTGTCATGATCCGAGAGGTCGGTTACGTGAGTCTGATGCATCGATGCTTGCGGTGCCAAGCGATGCGGCTATAGGTAAGCGACTCAGCCCGTCGACCGGCGTAGGCACCTCTAGTTATTTGCAGTTAATTTGCTGAGCCCCTCTGATGAAGACATGAAGCTGCTGCTTCGGAACTAGATTGTTCGTTTCATTCGATGCGTGTCGGCAGAGTCGTGGCTAACAATGACTAAAAGCGTCAGCATCTGAGTCGTTCCGATCGCAAAGCTCGATGCAGTTTTCACCTGGTTTTCTTCTGCGCATTACTCCCCTTCCCTGAGCGTTGAAATCCCCCAAGCAAGCCTGCAATGTAGTCTCAATAAACCTGCGAGGTCCCGGTGTTTGGTGTGCTTCAGCGCGAGTCGGGGTATCTCGTGTTTAAGGCTTCGGGGTTGAGGGGTGTGACTCTGCGTCCCAAGACCCTGTTTCAGGCGTTGCCTTTGCTCATCGCCACCTGCAGCCCTCCGCGGCGCAGCGGGGGCCCCGCAGCAACCTGTGGTAATTTACGGGTTGGGAGGGTTTTGGGTTTAGGGTTTAGAGTTTCGGGTTTAGGGTTTAGGGTTTAGGGTTTGGGTTGTTCAGGTTTCCAGGAGTTCGCAGGTGCAGCGTGAGCAGAACCTAATATCCTCCAGATGGGTTGGGGCTTGACGCGCGTATGCCATGGCAATTCTGTGTTGATGAGCACTTGGATGAGCGGGAACAGGTTTTCCTTTGGATTGAGACTTGACGCAGTTGCTTGGCTCTTGGGTCACGGTTTGGGACGTTTCCTGCAATGTACTAATTGCCTCCATTCCGGGGTGGCAGGGCTTCAGTCGTCATCATGTCGATTTCCGTTGACGTGCACTTGATAAGTGGGAAGACCGTCACTTTGGAAACGGGAGCAGATGCACCTGTTTCCGAGTTGAACCAACGTGCCCAGAGCGCTCTGGGGGTTGGCAAGGGAAGGCTGCTGAACTCATTAGGAGATGTGCTCGATGGATCACAGCTCGTGAAACGCGCCAAGCTGCAGAACCGCGACGTGTTGACCCTGCATATCGGGCAAGCTCATGTCGCTGCTTCCACGGGCTACGCTGCGGCCTTTGCTGCGATCCTGGGCGATGGATCTGTCGTAACCTGCGGCCATGCTGGCGCAGGTGGCGATAGCAGTGGAGTGCAAGATCGGCTGAAGAACGTGCGGCAGATCCAAGCTTCTGGCGAGGCTTTTGCTGCGATCAGGGGCGATGGGTCCGTCGTGACCTGGGGTGATTTGGCCTCGGGTGGCGACAGCACAGTCGTGCAAGGTCGGCTGAAGAGCGTGCAGCACATCCAGGCTTCTGGCGAGGCTTTTGCCGCGATCCTGGGCGATGGGACTGTCGTGACCTGGGGCCATGCTGGTGCAGGAGGCGACAGCAGTCTTGTGCAAGATCGGCTGAAAAACGTGCAGCATATCCAAGCTTCTGCGGATGCTTTTGCTGCGATGCTGGGCGATGGGTCCGTCGTGACCTGGGGCCATGCTGGTGCCGGAGGCGACAGCGGACTTGTGCAAGATCGGCTGCAGGACGTGCAGGAAATCCAAGCTTCGGGCGATGCTTTTGCTGCGATTCTGGGCGATGGGACTGTCGTGACCTGGGGTGATTTGGCCTCGGGCGGCGACAGCAGTCTTGTACAAGATCGACTGAAGGACGTGAAGCAAATCCAAGCTTCTGAGGACGCTTTTGCTGCGATCCTGGGCGATGGGTCTGTCGTGACCTGGGGCCATGCTGGTGCAGGAGGCGATAGCAGTGCCGTGCAAGATCGGCTGAAGAACGTGCGGCAAATCCAATCTTCTGTCTGCGCTTTTGCTGCGATCCTAGGCGATGGCTCTGTCGTGACCTGGGGCCATGCAGACGTGGGTGGCGACAGCAGTATGGTGCAAGATCGTTTGAAGAACGTGCACAGCATCCAAGCTTCTGCATACGCTTTTGCTGCGATCCTGGGCGATGGGTCTGTTGTGACCTGGGGCGATCCTGTTAGTGGCGGCAACAGCAGTGCCGTGCAAGCTCAACTAAAGAACGTGCAGTATATCCAAGCTACTGGCCAAGCTTTTGCTGCGATCCGGGGAGATGGGTCTGTCGTGACCTGGGGCCTTGCCAGCCAGGGCGGCGACAGCAGTCTCGTGCAAGATCGGCTGCAGGACGTGCAGCAAATCCAAGGACGTCGCATGGCTTTTGCAGCGATCCTGGGTGATGGGTCTGTCATTACTTGGGGCGACAGCGATGCGAAGCAAGATCGGTTGAAAAACGTGGTGCGGGTCCGCTGCGAAACAAACTTGGGCATGGACTTGTCGTGATTGTTGTCCTGGGTGTGGCTGACGCCGCAGTGCCTGCAAGTTCGCCTTTTCATGTTTGTTTTTGCCGATGCTGCTGATGCTCGCCCCCCCGCAGTCCCCTACATGAGGAGAGATGAAGGGTCCATGATGTGCGCCCTGGGTATCGGCGTCATCGCGCCACGCAGTCACGCATGATGCTCGCGTTTTGGGGGGAACAAGCGTACAAAAGAGATTCCACAGGGCCAAAGGCACCGTCTCCGGCCGCTGTTCATGAGGCTCTTATAATTCATAATGTTGGGCGGGGGGTCGAGGCCCCCCACTTCTGCTGGATGGGCGATGGATCACGGGCGAAGCTCCTGACGGCCGCCGACCCCTCACCTTCTAATGCCCCTGAGCCCTAAACCTTGAAAATCCCTGAGCCCGCCACCTCAAACCCCCCCCCCCCCCTTCCCAAAAACTATCACAATCACACCCGCAGCCGCAGGAAAACTGAGCAAACTCAGCCTGCAGCCCCGAATCTCACACCTTGGCCCAGGCTGCGCCTTGGCCCCGTGGCCCGACTACTGGGCCTGCTGCTCACAGGCAGCCTGGCCTCCTGGCCCCTTGGACTCCTTGGATGTCTGCCAGTTTGAGGCTGTTTCGAAAGGCAGTATATAGCAAGGCGTTTTGGGGTTTTCGGGCGCCTGGGAGGGGTGGACTTCAGAGGTTCAGGGTCTCCTAGGCTTGAGAGTGTTCGGCTAAGGCGCCGATTTCTTGCACCTGCATCCGAAGCGGCCCAGGCTCTTTCCTCCGGTGGGCTCGCCGCTGCGAGTTTGCGCGGCAGCCGGCACCTGAGGAATTTTCATACACCGGCTGCCCAATTCCGAATGAATCTGCCCTTTCACTACTTCCCGCTAAGCCAAGCCCAAGCCAAGCCCAAGCCCAAATCGGTTGACTTGCACGGAATCCAAGAAACAATTAGCCAGCAGGCTGCCACACCTAGGGGCAGTAGGGTGCCGTACCTAGGAAATAGGAAAGCAAACAGCTCCGTGGTTTAGGGTCAACAGGCTTTCCGAGCGGGTTAGGCTGGGAGGACATTTTTTGACTGGGCTTTACAGGGCTTCAGGGGGAGAAGCTCAGAATTTAGAGAGAGAGCAGAGCTTGAGGGTTGGCAAGGTTTAGGGTTTATTGCTTAGGGTTTAGGGTTTAGGGTTCAGGGTTCAGGGTAGTTCCCCTCGTGCCAGGTCTGCGTGGCGGTGTTGGCGATTTCGCTTCCTCTGGCGCTGTGTCGCCATGCGCCGGGCTTATAGGGGTTTAGGGCTGAAAGACTCTGAGCTTTGCGTGGCGAAGGGTTTGGATGTTCAGGAGTTCAGATGGCACTAATCACAAGCAGCAATCTCCTTCCGACCCCTGACACTTTAGGACTTTTGGGTCTTTTGGGGCTTAGGGCCGTTTAGGGCCGTTTCACGCCTGCGGTTTAAAGGGTTACAAGGGCATTTACGGGCTTATGGGTGTAGGTGTTCAGGTTTTCTATAGGCACCGAGATTACCAAAATCCTCGTAGCTTGGCTCTTGATTCCTCGTAGGGTTTGGGGTTCAGTAGGGTTTTGGGTTTAGGGAATAGGGATGGTCGAAAATCCATACCTTTGGTGTAGGGTTTGAGGCTCAGGGTTTTCGTGGTTCAATTCGGTTCAGGGTTCGAAGTCTAGATTTCTGCTTAGATGCTTACGGTCTCAGGGTTTGGGGTTAGTTGGGGATAGGGGGTATCGTTTTTGGGGTTTAGGCTTTTAGGTTTTTAGGTTTTTAGTGGGTAGCTGCCCTGGGCCTTCAAGCGCACACCTAGAATCCCACACCTGCAGCCAGCTTTCTCAGGAGCTCCTGGCGACTGTGCGGGCTGTCAGAAGAAGCAAGGAGACGTGACGCACCCAAAAAGGTTGCTGCCCCCACGTCACACACGGGATCCTGGTCCATGAGGGTTTAAGGTTTAAGGTTTAGGGTTTACGGTTTAGGGTTTATGGTTCATTAAGGGTTTCCCTACACCAGGGGTTGTTCTGAACCAGGTTCCCGTTTCATCTGCACAGGGACAGGGACGTGAGTGTAGAACATGCCCCATACCACCACCCTCTCAGCCCTCAAACCTAAGCCCTCCCTGAGCCCTTAAACCCCAAACCCTAGACCCTGAACCCTAAACCCGAAACCCGAAACCTTCCCCCCCGCCCCTTCCCTGAACCCCTGAAGCCGCCTAAAACCCAAACCATGAATCCCTGGCTTTTGGAGCTCATGGTTTAGTAAGTTTAGGGTTTGTAGGGTTTAGGGTTTACTTAGGGGATATGGGTCTTTTAGGGTTTGTAGCGCTTTTTCGGGTTTATAGGGTTTATATTATAGGGTTTACAGGGTTCACAAGGTTTGTAGGGTTTACAGGGTTTATGGGTTTTTAGGGTTTATAGGGCTATATAGGGTTTATAGGGTTTACAGGGTTTCGGGGAGTGCTCCAAGTTGTCTTTGGGCTTTGGGGGCTTTGAGAGGTCGGGGCTCAGGGCCAGTGCAACTAGGGGCACGCGTAGCGAAAGCTTCTTACGTGACGCTTGCGTGCAACGCAAGAAGCCCCTTCCAGCCTCCACGTAGGGTTCGCAGGTCCGCATCCCGAGATCATGTCCCCCGCTATCCGAAAAAAGACAGAAGAGGTAAGGCTTTGTGGGTTGCGCCAAGTTATGGGTCCTTCTTGGTACCCTTAACCGGTAAGAAACAGAGTATAACGGAGGCCCAAGAAAACCCGAACTCAGGGGCGTTTGGTGCTTGAGGCTAACGGCTTGTCAAGAGCTGTCCTGCCCACATCTTCGCATTCCGGAGGCAAGCTGAACGAAAAGCGGCTCAGGAAACCTGACTCTCAACCCCTAAATCCGACACCCTGAACCCCATGCGGGCACAAGCCCCGAGCCCACCCCCCCTCAGCTAGCCTATCCTAAGCCTCTGCACAACCTCCATCTTTCCAGCCTGAGCCCTAAATCCTAAGCCCTAGGCCCTAAGCCCATTCAAACCCTAAGGCTTGACCCTGGGTCCATCTCAAACTCACCCGGGGTTCATGGGTTTTTCGGGCCTGGGGAGGGGGGGATGCTAGGTGCTATCGTGGATGTGTGGGCAAACCCCAAGATCCCTCAAGCCCTCAGCCCTCCCTCAGAAAAAAGACGTTGTCTGGTAGGCCAGAAAAGTAGGGCAGAGCCATGGCAGCCTCCTGCGATGCAAGGGCGGCAGGTGAGCTGGCGCTTCGGTATGGGGTTTGCGGTTTGGGGTTGGGATGTTCCCCCTGATGCTCACAGTCCTTGATAGGGACTGTAGTACCCCCTATTCTAATCCCTATAAAGGACGGTTAGTATAGGGGAGAACATCCCAAGGTTTAGGGTTTACGGTGGGAGGTCCTAGGGGCTGATGGCTCTAGTGGTTCCGGGCTTCTAGGGCTTTAGTGGCCTTTGTTTCTAAGGGTAGTTTCATGTACCCTTAATGTGGTCCCCTACCTTCTTTGTTGGGTTCTGAAATTTGGGCCCTTGGGTTGTATGGGGTACATAAGGGGTCCCTTTTTAAGGGCCCATTTTAAGGGATCATGGAACTGCCCTAAGATTGTTGGGAGCTGTTGGGGTCTTTGGTCTTAGGATGCGAGGAGCTTGAAGGTTCGAGGGTTGAGTCAGGGCTTCAGAGTGCTCCTCGTGGGCTTTGGAAGGGATTCGCTTGAAGCTTCGCGGTTCGTCTTTATCAAAGTATGTTTTAACAATTCGGCAGCTCGGAAGCTTTGCTTTCCGTGCCACCTGCCGGCCAGCCAGCGAGAAGAAGGCGCTGGTAATTGCCAGGAACACCTTGCCCACCCTCATCCCCGAATCCTGCACCCTATTATGGCTATATCATGACATCCTACACACTACAAAGACGATAGCATGGACGATAGAGCCTTTCCTTTGCTGAGCTCCAAAACCTTGAGAATTCTGAAGCCCCCCAGCCCCAGCAAGTTCGGCCCTATGAACCCTATCCACAGCAGAGCCCAGGGTGCAGATGAGCTCGATGCGGCCGTGGCCGCCGAGCAGTCCCGGCCGCGGCCCCGGCACAGCTAGGGGTTGAGGGTGTGGATGTGTTCCCTCTTTCGCACGAGGGCGCCAGTATACATGGTCCAGTGCTCCCCGGCCCCCCCCCTCCCCCCCCACCCATGGTCTGGAAACCCCCCCCCCCCTTGTGGTGTGGTTGGGGTTGGTTTTAGGGTTCGGGTTATTTATGGTTTAGGGTTTAGGGTTTGAAAGGGTTTTGGGTCCAGGGTTCAGGCTTTATGGTTTAGAGTTTAGGGTTTGAAAGGGTTTAGGGTTTAGGGTTAACCCCCCCCCCCTGTGGTGTGCTTGGGGGTTGGTTTTAGGGTTTAGGGTTTAGGGTTGGTTTAGGGTTTAGGGTTTGAAAGGGTTTAGGGTTAGAGACCGTAGACCTGGAGGGGGGGGGGGATAAACGCCTTACACACAACATGGGTTTTCCCGAGGGCGTGCTCCCTCAACCGAAGGCGCAACACTCCCAACACACGGGTTTTGCCGAGGGTGTGCTCACAGTCGGCCCCCCCCCCCCCCCCTACCTGACCATACCATGGGGGGGGGGGGGCCGCACACGCCAGACGCCGGACCATATACAGACATGCTCTTGCAGCTTCGCTGGGCCCCGAAATTTTTGTGTTTGAGGATGGCGTGCGGGCGCGTTAAAATCAGGCAGCCCGATTCCTCTGTCGGCTTCGACGCCCCTGGAGCCCAAAATGCCACCAAAAGCCCGAGACCAGACCGTGCGGCGGTTGAGGGTTCAGGGTTGAGTAAGCAGTCGTGCACGTGCGTGGCCCGGACCTCCCCAGACGATGACGTCCACGCTTTCATCCTCTGCTTTTGCTGGTTTAAACCTGATCTCACCCGATGACCTCTAGCAGACCTCTAGCCCCCGAATGGGTCCTGAGGCCCGCATCCTTAGACCCTTAAGCCGCTTAAGCCCACGGTGCAAGCCCACACGGAACCCTCAAAAGCCGTGAAGTCCAAAGAGGCATCAGGCTTCCGAGACAGAGCTTGGCCCTCAGGGATCGGGAGGGGGAGGGTTGATTAGTTTGCTTAATTTTAGCTCGTACCATGAGTCTTGCTGTTTGTTAGATCATTTCTTATCCATACATACGTTGCTCAGTAGGCAGACGTAGTGGGAATGTTGAAGCACTTGCAGGCCTTCAGGCCTCGGGCTTGCAGAGCTTCTTGAGCTTCAGCAAAACTTTTAGGGTTCAGGGTTCAGGGTTTGGGTTTAATATGGTTTAATATGCTTAGGGTGGCTGGAGGTTTCGAATTCAGGGCTCAGTGCTGGAACGTTTGAAAAGTCCCTCATGAGCACATGCTAAATAATTTCTTTAAGTCCTTTCGGCCAGTATTTCCAAAAACGAATTAAAAGCATTTATACAAAAACATACATATAAATGTGTAGATCTTATACAAAAATCAATAAATAAGTAAACAAACAAATAAGTCAATAAACACACACACATATATATATGTTCGTTTATTTATTTAGGATTTGTATTTTCCTAAATGGTCAATTCTCTAAGTTGTGGTTCGTTCTTGCACAGGGACCTGAAAAGGGAACCGTTTCTTCGGCAATCCGCGTGCGCCCTCTGCTGACTCCGCCCAAACTTTCCACAGCGACGTTCCGCCTCGTTACTGCAAGTTTTGCACGGAAGGACCTGCAGGCAACAACCTTGTCAGTACATGGCCTTCAGATGAGAGTCGAACACAAGGCGCACGTGCTTTTGCGCAAGTTCTTGCTTCAAAAGGAGACAGATGTACGTCTATATATGTACTTATATATATATATATACACAGTCTTTATGTGTATATATATGTGTTGTTGTTGTTTTTTTTTTCAGTCTTGGGGCGGCCTCCTGCTCCAAGGCCTTGCGCAGTGTGCGGCGGCCCGACGGTCCTGTGCTGCTCTGGATGCGAGGCCTCACGGAAGCGACCTCAGCCTTATAAGCCCCAGGAGGATGTCACCTTGGGATGTTCCCCCCTTGTACTAACAGCTTCTTCATATAGGGATTAGAATAGGGGGGGGGGGGTACTATAATCCCTATGAAGGACTGTTCGTATACGGGAAGATCCCAAACCTCACCCTGTACCGTCAGTGGAAGCCAAATATGGTGTCCAGGGCTCTGCCTAGCAATTGTTAGGTCCCTGGAAGGAAAGGGCAAAACGCCTTACCAAACCTTCAGCATGCGAACAAACCAAAAAGCACCATGCGCCGACAGAACGCAAGGATTCTGAAAAGTTCCGAGGCAGGGTTTTTTCGAGGCTTTATCAGGTGTAGGTCCCAGGGTCATGATGTTAAATGGGGCCTTAAGGAACTCGGGAACTAGGGAGATCCTGGCCTGGAAAGCTAGGGTGTCGGGGAGATCGAGCTCTCAGTTTAGGGTTTAGGGTTTAGGGTTTAGGGTTTAGGGCTTAGGGCTTAGGGCTTAGGGCTTAGGGTTTAGCATTGATGGTTTTCAGGGTTTGGATTTAGGGTTTATTGTAGGGGGCCCTGGCCTATTTTGGTATGCTACACTGCAAGAGTATAGGAGGCCCAGAGCAGACCTCGAATTTTAATTGCCACCCACGTCCTTACATTCCAGGCCTTGCTTAGATTGAGGCATGTAGGGGCTTTGGGCTTAGTTTTTATGGTTTAGGGTGACCGGAACCCCGAATGGAACGCTTCGGAACCATTCAGGGCCTCAGGTCTACATCCGCTACATCAGAAACCCGGAGTAGTTCCGACGCCAGGTAAAACCCTGAGCTATGTATGCTGTCGAAGGTGATTATAATTTCCTAAACCCCCAAGTGTTTCTATCCCAATCCTAGTCCTTAATCCCTAAACTCTGAAACCCTAACCCATATTGAGCGCTGGCTGCCAGGAAGTCTTCTACTGTTCGGTGAACTGCCAGCAGCAGGCGAGCCTGACTGAGATTCGAATCTTGGGAGGTTAGTGGTTCAAGGTCTCCCCTTAACACGAAACCCTGAACCCTGAACCCCAAACCCTGAACCCTTTAGGGCTTTGGGGATTTCGGGCTTAGGAGTCTTCGGGCTTTTAGACCTCGGGTTCGAGTCGAGGGTTTAAGGTTGCGTGAACGTCTTGTGCATGCCTCCTGTGCATGCATAATATGGTTGTGGGCAGCTGCGGAAAGCTCCCTAAAACCCTAAATCCAAAGCATTGCAATCTGAATTGAAGCCCTGAGCCCGAAGAATCGAAACCTCAAACCCCTAGACCCTGCAATCCCAAGCCATAGAAACTCGAAGACTCAAAATGCCAAAGCCCGACTGCAACCCTGAGAAGCCCCTCCATCCTACGACACGGGTGTTTCCCAAAATAGGGGTACCCCTTGTATACCCCAAATAGAATAGAATCCCCCCTAATGGACCCCCCAAAAGGGTACCCCCTATTTTCGGAAACCCCCAGACATTTTAGAAGCCTTGACAGGACTGGACCTCCCATCGCCTCGCCTGCCACCGGCGTGCGGACCAGGTAGCGCAGGAGGCCGGTTTGCGGTTCCTATAGGGCACATGGGGTATATGTGCATTTCCGAAAATTCGGGGCACCCCCCACCCCCACCGTTTTGGGGGGGAATTCTATGCCCAGCTGGCCTAGTTCAGCCTGAATGCTGGCCCTGAGTCCCAAAGTCTACAACCCTAAGCCTTAAACCATCTTAAACCCCACGAACTGACAGGTCCTAAACCTTGTAGGTTTCCGAGCCTGCCGAAGAAGAGCGTCTCTGAAAAGAAGTGGGCGCATCCTGATGGGCTGCGCCGCTGATAGGGCTGTGTAGTGCATTCCGGGCCCCCCTCTCAAAGTGCACGCAGACACGTCCATGGCATAGTTTGGGATATCCTGGTGCAATCAAGGCCGCACACACACACACACAGACGCCTCTGGCATCTAGCTCTAGGCCCCATTGTTTGCAGGATGGCCTTGCGTCATGTGGGCGGCCGAAGAATGCCGTCACTTTCTTGCCCCCCCCCCCCATACCTAAACCCCCCTGCACGAGGTGAAGGCATCATTGGCTGTCGTCCCCGCGGAGCCCAAGGCAAGCCGGATGTGTTTGCGTTAATTCTGCGGGATTGAGAGTATCCATGGGTGAGCTCAACCCAATATAGACATGTGGGTTTCAGGAGGGGTTTCAGGAGGGGTTTGTTGTGAGGGCGTAGACGGTTCTTAGCTTCCCGCTTCATGTCGATGTAAGAGCTTGGTCGAGAGCAAACGGTCTCCGGCAGGACCGCGTCTCAAGTTCCACGATATCTATGGTTGGTGGGGATGTGGCGGCACTGTTGCATCCTCTGATATAGCCCGTTCATATGAGGGATCCCTGGGTATAGGGAATTGTAGGGCTTACGGAGTCCTAAGCACCAAGCCTAACGGCTCAACGGCATCCCCTGAGAAGGAGACGCCTCCGCACAAGCGGGAGATTGTCCTGGCAGGCTCTGAAGCCTATATCGAGCCCAGGGCCCTACAAGCCCTCAAAGCCCCAAACGCTAACCCATAAAAGCCGCCCTGGGCTCAACCATCAAGTTGAGGTTCGAAAGGTTTCATTCGTTTTAAGGTTTCATTCGTTTTGGGTGGCATTGGCTTTTCTAGTCTATTTGCAGAACGGCGGGAAGATATTGGCCGCATGATTGGCGAACCAAGCAAAAGGTCACTAAACTTGGGGTTCTTTTGGTCATTCAAAGGCCAGGAAGTCTCTGATGGGTTCGAAGTTGTAGGGACCAGGACAGGCCTGCATGTTCAACTTCGCTCGCTGTAGTTGCATCTGCTGCTTGAATTTCGCATTTACACCTGCGGTTGCATTGTAGACTTTCTTCTAGGAAAATCTCCCAGAAAACGGGGACCTAATTTTGAACCAATCTCCTCTTGGCTCCACAAACGCGCGGTTGCGGCTGTTCGAAGTTAAGTTCTCATTTCGCACTTCCCGGCTCGTCGTGCATTCGTCATCAACGGTCAAGTTGTGGGACTGAAGACGGAATAGGGCTGGGGATTGGGAGCGGCTGAGGAAGCACGCTGGAGTAAGCTTGACAACGCAGGCAAAGAGCACGCCATCAAGGGGGCTGAGCCGGGCTCTCAGGCTTTTCTTTGGCTTGCTGGTTTCTCATGTTTCCGTGTCTTCGTTTGGGGTTGAGCCCGAAAATCTTGAAGCTCTTGAAGCCCTCAACCCTCAAGTCCTAAGTCCAAAAAACTCTTGATTCCCTGCCACCCTATAGAAGCCCTTGAAGCCCCAAGCTTTGAAGCCCAAAGCCCAAAGCCGATGTGGGTAAAAGGTGGGTGGGGCTTTTGGAGGTGCAGGTTTGAAGGCATCCCTGCGTTTCTCGTCCATCGGCTGGGGTCGAAGGGATTTCGGTTCAAGTCCTCAGGCTAGGAAGGCTCCGGCTGGATCCCTGGGCTTAGTAGGGTTTAGGGCTTGGGGTTTGGGGTTGTCTTTTCCTGGTACTTGGCAGTTCGCTTCAACAAGCACGCACACCCGACGACCCCCAGACTCCGAACCGGAGTCTGGGGCCCCTCAAGTCCCAGAACCACAACACACCTTATTAAATTGACCACACCCGAAGCCCCTTTCCCTTAGGCAGCTAACGCTAGAAGCTCCCCCTAAATGCAGCCTTAAGGCACGCGCCCTAAACCCCAAGCTGGACCAAGTTGTTTCAAGTCCTTGCCAGGGAGAAGCGGGAGCAGCTGCGTGCGGCAGCCGTGGCGGCGTCACGGGATCGGCGCTACATGGTGGCTTGACCCAAGGAAAGGGCGGTTCAACAGTGTCTCAGCTCGGCCCAAAAGGGGGACCCCAACAAGGGAAGGAGGCACTGGGGAGCGAGGGCAAACTAAGCTGGCAAAACTTGCTAAATTCTAACTAAAACTGGCAACCCCAAACAGCCCTCATGTTCGTCACCTGCCCGGCCACCCGGTCACTGCTTAAACTGTCACTGTGGCGATATCTTCAACTCTAGATCCGGCCCGGCTCTGCCCAGGAAGTGCTGGACTCGGCGATGCAGGCGTACCAGGCCAGTGGCGCTGAACCCTCCCATAAATCGGCAGCAAGAAAAGGTCGCGGAAGACTTTGAGAATGGTTTGGGAGTGCAGGGTTGCAGGGGGCTGCAGGGGACGATGTCCCCTACAAGGGTTTATCGGGTCTACACGGTTCTACAGTGGTTTGGACTTGGGCTCCCCTCCTCTCCCCTTCGGTTTAGGGTTGAGGGTTTTCGGATACGCTTTAGGGTTTAGGGTTTGCGGTCCGAAGTCCTCCATCCCAGAAACGGGTGTAGGTTTTGCGGACGAGGGTGCAAGGGTCTAGGATTTCAAGGGTTGAGAGCTGTCAGGCAGCACCACCAACGAAAAGCCAGGCCCCCCAAAACCCTAGCTTATCTAACCCGAGCCTTATGTGTCTGACGGAACCGCACACCCCAGGCCAAACCCTGAACCATCCAACCATCTCCTTGAGATGGGTGCCTCCGAAACGCGTCGGAAAACCGCTGGGGAGCCTGACGTGGACCTCAATCAACTCGTGGAGGCAGCAAATGGGATTGCTTAACTGTTCCAGCAGTTTCTTACATGTCTTTCCAAGCCAATTAATGTCCATAAACCAGTTCTGGTGGCAACGGTTTCTGGTTGTCTGTTCGTTTTTTTGGAGCTGTTGTCGACCGGATGGTTGGGTTCGGGAGGGCGTATAGTGCTGGAAGGCGCAACTGGCGCCGCGAGCCTTAAATGTGAAATTCACCGAATATCTTAGCACAACTGTGAACTCCCGAATCACCAACATTCTCAAACCCCGAAATTCTGAACCCCCCCGCCTCCCCCGTCGCCCCCAACTCCCCCTTATGCCCCGCGTTGATCGGGCAGTTGCTGCTCCTTGCCCGGGCCACACACGTGGCCGGCGACCACGCCGCAGGCTTCTTGGGGCAGCATGCAGTGAAGAACAGTTTGTTTCTTAGTTAACGGTGATGGGTACAGGGCTGAGAGTCAAGAGCTTCAGCAGGCCGATTGGAAGGGTGTGCGCAGAGTTTTGGACAGCTGAATCGTTTCACTAGTATGAGGTGGCGCCCCAATGACGCATTTATGCCAGGGTATAGACTCCAATCAGCTCCCCCGGCAGCTCAAAGTGTCCAATGCCCACCGTACCCTCTCGAGCTGGGCTGTCGTGCGCCCGTCACGATTATGTGACTACGCAGTTCTTCTTCTACTTCTGTTTCATTGCTACTGCTGCTTCTACCGCTATTGCGACGACGCGACAACGAGTATGACGACCACTATGAAAGCCTTGGGCAAAGGCTTGAAGTACCTTGACTTCCTGTCCAAACTGGTCGACAACCTGACTGGGGCAGATGGCGGGGGGCTTTGAACCAGCGCTTTCTTCGTTAGAGACTCGGAGTGCGATCTCAGGCTTACGTGCAGGCATGCTCTTCGTTTACTTCCGTCCATTCATGTCCGTCATGACCATGAGCTGCATCGTGCCTAAACCCTATAGACCCTGCGGCTTATAAGGCTTTGGGAATTTCAGGGGTTTACTTCTTTAAGGGGACCGGTCTAACCCTGGCCCCAAAAACTGCGCAGAGGCCTTTGGGTACCCAACTGCCCAGGCAATCTGCCGATCTTCCACCCCTCCTCTGCTGCAACGCTGCTGCTGTGCACCGCGGAGCTGTTTGCCCTCTTCGGGCAGCAGGATCGTCGGGGAGTGTCAGCTCCGGAAACATGGTCAGCTCAGTCAGTTCGCTGAATTCTGGCCCACGTCTTGGACGCCGCGGGTTTTGGGGTTGCGGAGGTTGAGAGGAGAGGTTGCGCTCGGCAAGCCTAAGCCCTCAAGCCCTGAACCTGAAAACCGCGCAGGGTTTCGGGTTTTGGGAGACCAGTTGCCCCCAAACCTTCAACGCCAGGAGCGGGCAGCAGACTACAGTCGGGCCTACATCGCCATGGCACGGCTGGCACACGGCGAGGAGGGAAGGGTTCGGTGCTTCATGGGCTTTACGGGCTTCAGGGATTGAAGGCTCGGGCTTTTTGGGTTTTTTGAGTTTGGGCTTGAGGACCAAAGAAGTTAGGCATCTTCCGTTTCCACCTAACCCCCCCCCCCCCCCCCCCCCCGAACCTAAGCCCTAGACCCCTTCAACCCCTCAAGCCCCCAAACGATCCAGCCTGACTTGAAGGTTCATGAGAAGTTACCAGTAAGATGATTAAGTTTCCTGACTAGGGTAGTAGCCAGGTTATCATCATAGTTACCTTACCTAGAACTCCACTTGTGATTACCCATGAAGCTACAAGCAGGGCTCTCCCCCAGTGGGTGATGCATACGGCTTCCACACGGCCCTGCTCGCCCGCGCACGCCCTGGAATGTTGAGGTTGAGGATTTTGAGGGGGTTCCTGGTTTCCTGAACCCTACAATGAACTGTAATCTCCAGACCCCAAGAAGCCGGTAGAAAACCTCGAGTCCCCAATATCCTCAAAAAGCACTCTTTGACCCTCCCAAAAACCTAAAATCGCCTAGTTTAAAGTCTTAGAGCCATAAAACCCTGAATACCAAAATCTTCAAACACCCCCAAACCGCCCAACCCCCTTAAAACCCTATAAAGCCCCCAAAAAACACCCAAGCCCTCCCTACAAATCTCACAACACAGGCTCAAAAAATTCAAAGCCCACAAAAACTTCAACAAATCCATACAAGTCCTAAGAGCCTTGAAGAAACCTCTCTTTCCAAAGCCTTTCAGAAACCCCCCATAAACCTGGCAGCCCCCTTTTTGGGTTCAAGGTTCCCTTGTAAAGTAACCAACCCCTTTTAAAGGGTACCCTTAGTAGTGTATGGTTGCGGGGCTACCAAGCAAAAGCCCTACTTGAAACCATCCCTCGCGCCCATCTCAGGCCGTGGTCAGTTCGAGGAGGCGCCCAGCCCCCAAAATCTGGGGGTTTAGGGCTTAGGGTTTAGGGTTAGAATAGGGTTTTGGGGGGCTCTTATCAATAAATTGTTTTAGGGACTATGAGGGGATACTAGAAGTGATTATTTCGACCCCTGTCTCACGCACCTTGAAACTCGTCAGGGGTCTGGTAGCTGGTTGAGGTTTTTGTTTGGCTTTGGAGGGCTGGGGGCTTAGCGATCAGAAGGGCTGACGGCTGAGGGTTTCGGATTGAGGCTTGGGGCTCCGGAGTTGAGGGTTGAGGCTTCAAGCGGGTTCAGCTCAAACCCTAGACTCGGTAGTTCCTGCGACAATGGACCCTTGTGTCTTCATGGCTGTCACCCTGAACCCCAAATTAGGCCTAACGCGATTGAACCAGCCACCAGCCTGCCAGGCGCTTCACCACGCAATGATGATGCTTCAGCCTTAGCCTTTTCGTTGATTAGGGTTGCCAGGGTTGAGGGCTTGCAGCCTACACCGTCTTCTCGATGCGAGCATTCAGGGTTTGGGTGGGACATTCCGGTGGTTCAACCCTCAGGGGCGAACAAGATTGAGAGAGGGTTTCGTGTTGCTTGCATCCCCAAGACCCAAATTCAAATCCTGAACCTGCAACCTTTGAAAGGAGCGTGACTTGCGGCCTCGATCCGGGGTCTAATTCGGGTTTAGGGAGGGTCCAGGCTCTTTTCCTGGTAGATGTTTCGACGCAATCTCAGCTTGGAAGCCAGCATGCAAACGTGGCTTAGCGGGACTCTTTCGTCCGCCTTGTGAAGTCTATACCACTCAGCACTAAAGCCTATAAAACCTAAAGGCCCTAAACTCAAACCCTACAGCTTAGCCTTCTCAAGCCCCCTACTCCTCCCGGAGCCCACAATGGGGGGTTTGAGGTTTCAACCTCTAATTATAGGACCTATGCACCCTAAAGAACCTCTCAAATCTTCCTTGAGCCCAGGCTTCAGGTTCGGCAGCGCTGCGGCGAGGACAAGCTACGGGGCGGCACACACGGTGGAGGGTTTAGGGTTGAGGGTGTCAGGGGTTCGCGTTCAGCAGCTGAAGTTTTCGAAGGGTCGAGGGCCGTAGCCCAACCCGAAGCCCTCATAGGGCTTTCAGGGCTCGAGAAAAGAGATCAGTCTTGGGGTCGGTCTCTGCGTGGTGCAGCCTCAGGCCCATTGCCGACGCTCACTGGAATGTGGCGGCTCGGTCCTCGGACGCACTTTTGCGGATCAAGGTGAGTGCAGGGCTCACTGGGGCCCCGAGTGCTTTAAGTTTGGGGGGATGAGATGTGTAGGGAGTTATAACAGTTATAACCCACAACATGTGGGGTTTGGAGGGGGCGGGGTAGGGTTTGCGGATTCTGCTTGTTCGCGAAGCTGCGCCGTGATCTGAGCCAGCACTCTGTCATGTCCTCGCAGAGGGTGCTATAGTGTTCTCGACCCAGAAAACTCCCTAAGCTCCAAGCCTCTACCCTGCGGCCTTGAGACCTCAAACATCCTCAAACCCAAAAAAGATGCCGAGGTCCTCCTACGGGAGCTCCACCAATACCAGTCTGCCATCGAGAGCCTGGAGGTCGGTTTAGGGCCAGCGTTTGGGCAAAGTTTCAGGGTGTTGTGGTTTTCGTCTTTAGGCTATACTGGTAGCCCTCACACCCTAACTAAGTAGGTGGCAACACCTTGAGTATGGAGCGAGTGTGCATTTTGTTCGACAGTTGAAGCAACTTGACGACATGAGCCAGGATCCCTGCACCCTGAAAGCCGATGATTTCCGGTGCTCCCCCCCAAATGTCGTGCAGGCCGAAGAACTAAACGCCTCGAATCCTTTGGCTGCAGTAGGGGTTCTGAGCTTGGATTCGGGGCTTGCTCTCATGCCTAGGCCGCAGCAAAAAAGCCCCAACTCCAAACCCTAAGAGCTGCTCGGGCGCCTTAGTGGAAACAACCCCCCCCCCCCTGCCCACCCCCAGCGTCAGGCCGCGAGGGAGATCTACTCCCGCTGCTCTGGCGAGGTGCCGGTGATTCTTGTAACTAAGTCGATCAGCGCATTAAGGGCTCTCTGGAGAAGATTGGGTTGACTTTGGCTGTGAATAGGGGTTTTGCGGCATCAGTTGCTGCTTTGACCTGAGAAGACCAAGCCCTCGAAACAACATCTTCACCCAAACGAGGCAGAAGGAAGAAACCCGGCAGAAGCATTGACGAGGTTCTTCACACACGCCAAACCCTCCGTATACCCATGTAAACCCTAAGCTTCAAGCCCTGAATCTTCAGCCTGAGCCCTAGAGCAACAGAACCAAGCGAGACTCCTTGTTGCCAGGGGCCGGACACCTCCCAAGCAGACATTGCGACTGCATCTGTGCCCTGGTAAGCATGGTTTCGCATCCACGAATCATGAACCGAGAGCTGGGTCCCTGCAGGGTAGGCTTCAGGGGGTCGTAGCAAACTCAACGCAGGCCCAAATGGCAAACCTGAGGCCAGACTCCAAGAAACGCTTGACCTCGGGTTCGGCAGTCCCGCGACATACGTATGAAACCAGGGGACACCCAGGAGGAGGCGACGCGACGCACCCCTGTTTTGACTCACAGCTACATAGGAACCTGCGGGGCCCTCAACTTTGCAGGTCCTGTTGTAAGTCCTCAGGCCCTGTACGACGCGTCGAGCCCATAGGCCTGCATCCCCTTGATGCCCAGCCCGAACTTGGCAAGGTGCTGCAGCTGCTCGGTGAGCACGAAAGGGCCGTAGGGGGCCTCAGGATTCTCGTGTTGGCGTAGTTCCGATTCAGGGCTTAGGGTGCGGGATTTCAAGATTTCTGTTTAAATTTAGGGTCTAGATGGAACTTGCGGAGATGGTTGGAGTTGGCGGAAAGCAGCCGCGATCAGCGATGGGCGTGAACATGTCACCTCCTGCAAATTGCAGCGAGACTCAAGAGCCTCAAGCCGCATTCATCAACGCCTCTGCTCTGAATGCCCTAGTGCGTGTGCACACACATACACGCCGTTGTACCAACACTCACGTCGTAACAAAGGGCCCGCCCCGAGGTGAAAATGCTGCGGCAAGCAGTGCGGGCGCGGCAGCGCACCCTGGGCTTCGCGAACCTCGAGGCGAAGTGGGGAAGGGGGAAGCCTGGTTCCCGTAACTTGCTGTAGCCGCTCTGAACCCTACACCTCAACCCCCGAGTCCAAACTGAACCCCCCAAACCCAAGCCCTCCCCCAAAAACAAACCCGAAACCTCAAACCAAAATACGGAGGAGCCGATTGGGGGGAAACTGCGCTCTCGCTTGGGTTCCGGGTGCGTTTCGTGGCGCGAGTCGTGCTGCGGCCGCAGCCCCGCCCCGTGCCCGCGTGTTGACGTGTCGCGTGCCTGTTCTAGGAGGGATTGTGGGGTCCGAGGGTAGCCGGGCTCTTCCATCCAACCCGAACATGGCCCGAAAGCCCTCTAAAGCCACCCACTGCACAAAGCTCAGACCAAGCGAGCGGCCGAGCTCCTGGCCGAAGCCGAGGCGAAGCTCCATCACGAGGCGCCCCTTTGTTTTCTTGTTGCTTTTGTTTTGGTGCTTTCATAGGTCAGTAGGCCCTTCCTCAGTTAGAAATTAAGACTCATACCGGGCGGAGGCGGTGGTTGAAAGGGTTTAGAAAGGCGCTTCCAGCAGGGCACTCAGGAAGTTTGTAGGTTCAAGATGGTGGCGAGGGTTCGGGCTTGTTTGGGGTGGTTTTGAGGTTCTCGGGATTTCGGTCGAGATCTGGACTCGTTTGGCAGTATGGGGTTGGAGGCTGGAGGGTGCTTTGGTCTTGAGGTCATTGGGTTGAGTGCGCCAAGCCTAAACTTGGGGGAATACTTCCCTAAACCCTAAACCCTGTGGGGGCCTCTCTGACTTCTCCGGCATCTCCAGCATCTCAAGCTGCCAAAAACCCCAGAACTCCAAGCCTGTTAGCCCCCTTATTAGGGTAAACTCAGTTCAGCCCTAAGCCGCAAGGAATCCTAAGCCCTGAAACCCTTCGACCTCGGAAGCCCCTCCGCCTTGAAACCTGGAACCTCCCAGAGCCCGGATTCACGCTCCCAAATGCGCCTGCACCCTAAACTCAGAAGCCTTCTGGGCTTTCGAACCCCTGAAGCGCCCGTTTGAAGCCCTCCTGCGCATCCCTCAGACCCGTCGAAACCCTCTCCCCTTCAAACTCCGGTTCCGGGCCCCTCCGGATCCCAATGGGGCCCTCATGGCTCCACCTGAGCACTTCTGCGTGGAGGCCGAGCCCGAGCCTGAGATGAGGGTGAGATGAGGGCGTTCAGGGTTTAAGGTTGCAGGGTTTTTCAGGTTCAGACGGTTCTGGGGGAAGGTTTTTGGGGTTGTTGGGGTTTGGGGTATGCACCGTTGTGTGGTTTTGACTGGAGATTGAGGTCTTCAGACCTTCTTGGCCTCAGTGGGATGCGGGACCTAGGACTAATTTAGGTCATTGATGGTTTGCCTTTCTGTTCCGGTTTAGGATCCCTCGGTTGGCCCCCAAAAAACGACGGCTGGAGAAAGTGTTTGGTTGAACGATCCTCGGAAGCGCAAGTGCACCAATGTTCACGCCATGCACTGCGAATATTTTGTCTTCTTTCGTTGATCTGGAGCATTTGGAGCTCTTGGAAGGCTTAAACTTCCTTCTTGTGCAAAGTGCAGTACAGCATATTGCCACTGTTTGCAACCCGTGTACCCTGACACCTAGACCCTGAAACCCGACAGCTCAGAGGGTCGAAGCTTCTCTGAGGCCGGCGGAGGACTTGGTGGTGTTGTCCCTGCAAGGCCGCTGCTTCGGCATTGGACAAATCTCCTTCGTTCCCCCTGCAGTACGAGCTACTCCTGGCTAGCCAAGACCGTCGGTAATTGGGCGATCTAAGGCTGGGGCTTGGGGGTTGCCAAAGTAGGCCCCAAATATGAGTTCTAGAAGACCTGCCGTGCGCATGCCGAGGAGAGCCCTCGACCCGAGAGCAAGGAAACCCCCAAAGGGGGCCATTCTCGACCTCCTGAAGATCCTGAAGATCCTGAACCCCAAAGCTGCCTAAGCCCTTGGGCCAGGCGCCACGCGAGAGCGACCAGGCCAGGAGATCCGGCAGTCACGGTTTTTCGGGGGCTCCGTGCGCCAAGAACCTCAAGCGGCCTAAGCCCGCTTGGAGTGCTGGATGGCCGCATTTGGTTGTCGGAGTCGCTTGTAATTAAGGGGCCTGGAGACCCCAAACCCCCCAAAACAGCGGTTTGCTGTGCTTGTGGGTGCACATGGATCTGCTCCCAGGCAGCGCATGTAGCGCATGTAGTTTGCGACCTTTCCCGGACTGCCGACGTGACATGCTGAAAGAGTAGCACAAAATCCCAAGCCCATGGGGCCGAAATCCAAGTTCCATGAAACCCGAACTCCTCAATTCCAAACTCCCAAACCTTAAACTCCTCAAGTCCCTCACCCTTTGCCAAACTCCGAATTCCCGGGCTGGGTTTAGGCCGGCCGGTCCCGGATTGGCTCCGCAAGGCCCGCGTGGGAAGTGGAGGATGGAGGATGTTTTCTCTGCTTTTGGGGCAGGAAGCAGTATGACTTAGGGGTTTTCCCCCCCTCCTATATTGACAATTCTCAATACAATTTAAGATTTCTTCACAGGATGGTTTCATGTAAACAGGTGGCAGGTTATACTGAAGATTAAAGTCCTCTTCTGGGGGGTTCTTATTCGGATGGCGGAGCCTTGCCCGAGCCTTGCTGGGTTGGAGCTTTGGGTGCTCGGACGCCGTATGAGCCCCGCTTGCTACTGCTGCTGGAGTGGTGTTCCCTTTGGCCACAAAAGAAAGCTTCAGAGGACTCCCCCCAAAACAAACCAAACCCTGAGACTCTGAGACCTAAAGCTAAAACCGAGCCCGCGCCCGCCGTCAAGTCAAGGCGGTTAGCTTCCCTGGCTTTGTGGTGGCGCCGGAGCCCCAAAGCCGAGGCTCGGGGTTTAAAGCTCAAAGGGCTTAAAGAGAGTTACGTGCATCCCTCTCAGCAACCCTAAACTCTAACCCCCGCCTTCCTGCATTCCTCATTCGAGCTCATGGGACCGCATCTCGAAACCTTTGAAGGTGCATGCATCCCTCGCATCCCAGGGCCTCCTCTTCATGGGTTTGGGTGTTCGGGATCGCTGTGTGCTGAGGACCCGCACCGGAGATGGCGTCATCTCGGTCTTTATCGGCGAATCCTTCCTCAGCGAGGCATGTTGAAAGACTCACTTCGATGTAGGGTTTCGGGTTGCCATGCGTCCTTCACAAGCCTCATCCTTTTGGCTTGTTGCAGTTGTACTCACAGGATGTGGCAATCTGACCCAGCACGTGACCAATCCCAGCATCAAGACACACTGTGCATGGAAGGTGCTGTTCGTTGATGCTCGACCTGCCCCAAGCACCGTTCAACAGTTTAACATCCAATTCAATTCGATCAGGTTTGATCCTTGAATCGCTTCTTCCCGAAATGAAGCCCAAGATTCGGGGTTTAGGGCCCTAACCTGAGAAGCCTCGACACCTAAGCAGAGAGCTCAGGTGTGCGCTTATATCCTCCACCACCCTCAACCCTGTTAACCAAAACCGTGAGCCCGAAACCTCTGAAAGGTGGCGCTGCCAACGAACGTGGAGATCGAGCGCCAGTGGGCCTCCTTGCGAGTTTGCAAGGCTCCTGGGAGGGCGAAGTTTGGTGCTTCAGGGTTGGGCGTGAGCTGGCGGAGGATCTAGGGGGCTGGGTTTAGGGTTTAGGGTTGAGGGTTTAGGGGTTAGGGTTTCGGGTTTCGGGTCTAGGGTTTAGGGTTTAGGGCTTAGGGGGTAGTCCCCGACCCTGGCCCATAACGCAAGCCATCAGAGCCCTGCAGGGTTGTGGGCTCGGAGGGCAGCAGAACTTCTCCTGGCAAAGGGCACTGCTCGCCAATGTGGGTACACGTAGCTTGGCGGAGCAAACCCTAAACCCCTAAACCCCTAAACCCCTAAACCCCTAAACCCCTAAACCCCTAAACCCCTAAACCCCTAAACCCCTAAACCCCTAAACCCCTAAACCCCTAAACCCCTAAACCCCTAAACCCCTACACCCCTACACCCCTAAACCCCTAAACCACTAAACCACTAAACCCCTAAACCCCTAAACCCCTAAACCCCTAAACCCCTAAACCCCTAAACCCCTAAACCCCTAAACCCCTAAACCCCTAAACCCCTAAACCCCTAAACCCCTAAACCCCTAAACCCCTAAACCCCAAGCAGCTACGCAATCAAAACTATTCTAAACCCAGGGGCCAGCCAATTTCAGGGCTTGTTCTAAACGAGGGCTTTTTGGGGGCTGTTTCTGGGGTTCAGGGCCGCTTCTTGGCAGGGCCCATGACTGTGAGTAGCACTCAAACGAAGGGCCTTTGTAGATGCCTTATACTATACATATAGATATATATACATATTAATTAAGAGCTCTTTCTACAAGAGGACCACCCCTCCCGCCCCCCCACCTGATTTTTCGACGGAATCAGGCCTAAACCCTAATTTGGTTAGAACAGAATCGTGCAGAATCCTGAGTCCCCCAAGCTGTGACTGCAGGGCATCAGGGGTTCGGGGGTGTAAGGGCTTACGGGTTTAGAGCCTTTGGGTGGCTTTGAGCATTTGGGGCATTGGAGTTCGCATTAGTTGTTTGAGCTTAGAGTGGTATAGGGTTTTGGAGGTGACTATGGCCTTCTACTTTGGGTGGAGGTTCTCTTCTGCCCTGAGACTCTACTATAGCACCCTTAAACTACTATTTCTACAGTACTAATTGTATGCAATTTTGTGTTCATATAAAACCCAAGGGGAATATGAAGAATTGTTTTTGTTAAGCCTCTTAGTCTACCGCGACCTGGCTCAGGCGTCCTTGGACGTCGATGCGGCCTTGACAAAGTTCGAGGCCCTCTGCCAAGCGCTGAAGGCCAGACTCCTTGCGAGGTGTGTAGATACCTCCCCCCCTCATAGTAATAATAGTAATAGTGATCATCATCATAATAGTCATAAGAATACTAATAATACATTCATGTTGTATTGTTAACATAAAGAATGAGAAGAATAATTTCGGAAGGTCTTCGCGACCCCTAAGCCGCAAGCCCCCAAAGCTCGTCCAGGGCTCCCATGTGGGTATTTCCCAAAATAGGGGTACCCTTTTTATACCCCCCAAATAGAATAGAATCCAATTAAAGGGACCCCCCCCCCCCCCCACAAAGTGGGTACCCCTCTTTTTTTCCTCTCTATTCCTAATATCGTGGTCGGAATCAGTACCATTGGTATTCCCTTGTGGTCCCTGTGTAATTATACTATAATCCCCCCCCCCCCCCCCTGGGTCGGAACAGTTACTAATACTAGTCCCTTGATAGCCCCCCCCCCCTGCCAATAAGAAAAAAAAACGCATTCCAATTATTGAGGCCTCTATATTAACTTAGATCCACGATTGTGTATTTGCACGACGAGCGCGGCATGATGAGCTTATTTTTCAGCTCAGCTGTTTTTCAGTGAAGTTTTGCATCCAATGTAGCTAGGAAACACCAAGCCAACCTTGCCGCAGCAAACTTGCGGGTTCCCCTCTGAGTTTTGCGCATTGAACCTGCCTGCGACATGATGAGTGGCGGTTGTTCTACTTGGTGTCAACGCGGGGAGAGGGAGGGATGTCAGATTCCCGGGCGGAGGGGGTGCGCACATGCATGTGACAGTACAAGTACGGACGTATCATAAGTCTTTTTTTTATTTAAAGCTTTGTATGCTCATATGACATTAGGTATATGATGAGAAGTCTCACAATATATATATATATATATATATATATATATATAATTTTTACTATTATTGTACCATTCCATGTATTGTATTTGTTGAAGTTTATTTGTTTGTTTGGATTATTTTTCACGATTTAGGGCTTGAGTTTTACAGGTTCATCATGTTTCATCTGCTATCCAAGCAAGGGGGCCCTTAGGCCCAAAGGCCCCACGCTTTGTGCCCTGAAAGCCTCAACCCACGGCCCTGTGTGCGGAGTGTGGGAGGCTGCCGAGGTGCTCGTCCACGTGGTGCGGAGTCTTAGTGTCGAGCTTTGTGTGACTTTGGTAGGCCTCGGAGGTTATTCTGCAGGGGGGCCTAAGGCCAAGAGCTTGGAGTCACTGAGAGTTGTTGTTTGCGGGCTGCCTTTTGGCGCTTAGCCTAAAGGGTTGTCATACTCATCCAGGAGAAGCGGCACCTGTCCTGTGAAGTGTTTTGCAGTGCCGGGGTCGGCTGGCATGGCGAGAGCGAGAAAAAAGAGAAGAGAGAGAGAGAGAGAGAGAGTGCTAAAGAAAGGAAGGAAGGAAGGAAGTTTCTATGCTCAGGCCTTGCTTTAGGCGTTGTTGAAAGGCTGCATGTTTGCCTTCGACAAAAAGACATCGACCCTTAAAAAGGCCGAAGCCTTGAGACTTCTACAATGCCCCAAGCCTCCAACAAGAAGCTCTGAAGTCCCTAAGCCCCGCAAAGTCCTGAGCTCCGAGCTCTGCTCAACAAAACCCTCGAGAAGAGGTGTCCACGCCGACATGCGAGTGGCTGCTGCTGCCAAGAAGGTGGGGCATAGAAGGGTTCGGGGCTTATGGGCACTGACCCTTAAGAGGCTTAGGGATTGCGGATGTTTTTTGTTGTTCAGGCTTTCGGCCGGGGAAGTCCGTGGGCACATTCCACCCCCAAACTCCAACCCTCGACTCCTCCCAAGAGATACAATGAGGATCCCGAACCACGAAGTGCCAGGTCCTCGGCACCCTTAGCCCCAAACATCAAGAGCAGCTAGGACACCCTTTCAACCAAAAAGGGCACCGTTTTTGTTCCTACTTGGAGTGTCATGGGTAGTTATAAGTAGGGTCATAAGTAGGGTAACTATATTTGCATAACTGGTTCTAACCTTGTTTAGGGGTACTTAGATCCCTATTTATAACCACCCATGAACCTTCACGTAGGTTACTCTTGGGTCGAGGCAGCTGGCCACCGCAGCTGGGGCGCTCCTGGCTGCTGGACACCTTCTGCGCCCGTGGCTCGGGTCTGGCGACAGAAAAACATGCTTAGGGTTTAGGGTTTGGGTTTAGGTTTTTTTTTCCGGTTTAGGGTTTAGAGTTTAGGAAACCTCAAACCTGTGTGCTTTTTGATCTCGGCACGATGCTTCTTCTATTGTGTTGTCCGCAAGAGGTTGGGATTCCTGGAGCACAAAGTCCTGAGCCAGTAGTCCGCAACAACCCTCAACCCTACCAAAAGCTTGAATCTGATTCGATTCCTCTGCAGCAAGCTTCGCAACCTGATCCTTCATATTTCATGTCCATATCTCCCTAAAATCTTCCTGCCCTTAAAGCAGTCTTTCGCCCTGCCTACACCTACCCGTTTATCTACCCAAAATCACGGCCCTGAAGGCCTTCACATCTTGAGTTTTATACAGGGTTCAGGGCGTTTAGGGCTTGGCGATCCTGAGCCGAGCATCCCCGAAACAACTTCCAGGCCCCTCGCTGAGATTCTGCGGGCCTTTCCCTGAGGGCTTGCTTTGCAGGCCCGGGTTGGGAAGCCTCGCGGAGCCCCCCCAAAAGTCATCAAAGGAAAGCCCTTTGTTGGGAGATTATGTTTTTGATTCCTAAATCCTGTTCATGAATCCCGCCCCCCGGCCCCAATGTTGAGATGTTGCGAGGCCCATTTTGAAAGGTACCTGTGGGCAGGTGAAGTCTTTGCCACGCCGCCCGAAGCTCTGAACCCAGTCCCCCGAAAGAGCTCCAAAGCGACGCCCTCCATTTGGGACTGCGTTGGCAGCCTTGAAAGAGAGACCCTAAACCCTCAACCCTAAACCCCAAACCCTAAACCCCGAACCCTAAACCCTAAACCCTGAACCCTGAACCCTGAACCCTAAACCCTAAACCCTAAACCCTAAACCCTAAACCTAAACCTAAACCCTAAACCCTACTAAGCCCTGTTGCCAGGAACACAGACTGCCAAAGGCCGCGGTTGTGTTTGCTTCTCATTGCGAGTCATGGTTCCGAAGGGCTGAAGCTGCCAAGGGAACCTTCAGGGTTTGGGGTTTTGGGTTTAGGGTTCAGGGTTTCCATTTTTTGGGGGTGCAGGGTCCAGCACCAAGGGGTGAGGGTTTATGGGGCTTGTGCTGACAGCCTAATCGCTGTGCCCTACACCCTAAGCTTTAAATCCCAAGCCCTGGAAGCCCTAAAGCCCTACCCTACTCCCCCCACCGCTATTCCCACCTGACACCATATGACCCCCGCCCCATACCCGTCGTATTCTCTTTCAACCCCAAGGCGCCAAACCCTGCAACCCAAAGCAGCGAGGCTTGCGGGAGTGTGGATGCTGCAAAGTGAGGCACCCATCCAAAACCTGCGGTTGAGGGGTTAGGGTCTAAGATTAAGGGGGTTGAGGGTTTGGTGCTGCCTCCCTGCACCGCACACTAAGGTGGACAGGATTCGGGTTGGTTCAGGCTTTAAGTTTCTTACCCGGGGCTCCACATTACGAACTGGGTGCCTATTAGTTGCTTGTGCGTTGGGGGCGCTGTGCTGCAAATCGAATCGGGGGCTTATTCCCCACCATGTTGCAGGGTTGTAGCGTTGCACGCAGGAAGTGTCAACCATGAACCCTAACTTACGGGTAGGCTGTTTGCCCATGTTCCCAACCGAGAGCCTACATGGGGCTTTACGAAAATACGGGACCCCTGGAATAGACCCCCAAATAGCAGGATCCCATTTTATGAAGGACCCCAAGAAGGTACCCCTAGCCCCTAACTTCGGAATTCTTGCAAGCCAAGCAGTCGCCAAGCCTTCAAGGGCTCACAGCAATTCCTGCACCCCCAAACCCCCTGAACCCCCCCAAAAGCCGTAAACCCCTGGAAGCTGTCGGCACACTCTTGGGCAGGGCCATGACGCAGGCGAGGAAGCGACTCCGAGTCAGCCGCTAAGAAGCTTGCAGTTTTCGGGGCCTTTCCTGCAAGTTTAGACTCCTAAGTCCGAAAGTTTGCATGCCCCATATCCAACTCCTTGTATAGATGAGTTGAATTTGTGAAGCTCCCTAACTTCAACTCGAACTCTGCGGACAGTACCATATTCTCGCGCGATGCTGACTGACGAACCCATCGACATTTCAGTGATCAAGCGCCGACTGGCCGCACTTTCATACTTCCTGGGTAGCTGCAAGGTGATGGCGGTGGGGAAGCAAAACATGGTAGTGTATCCGGAAGCCCACGGGCTCCAACAGGACATCGAGCCAAGAACTACTGGGCGAAGAGTGAAGAACATCGACCTTCCCAAAGAATGAACTCTACGAGTTTCATTATCATCTGCATGGCGGTCGGGCTCTAGAGCCCAAACACTGGCAGTCCATTGGCATTTTGGTAGAAATGAGCGCTTAACTAGGAGTTATCGCCCATAAGACTGTCCCAGGTATACTGGACACCCCAATTTGCAAGAATGTTTAGTTTAATCTCTCCGGGAAGCCTGGTCTATTCATAACCTTGGGGACGGTTGCAAAGTGTTTCTGGTATGACCCACGGGAGTCGGCTTGAGAGTTTAAGGACTTCAGGGTTCAGAGCTTGTATTCTCGCCTGTTTTGGCGCGCGCGCGCGTGTGCGTGCGTGCATGCATGCATGCATGCATGCATGCATGCGTGCAAGCAAGCGTGCAAGCAAGCATGCGTGCAAGAGTGCGTGCAAGCGTGCGTGCAAGCGTGCGTGCATGCGTGCAAGCGTGCGTGCGAGCGTGCGTGCAAGCGCGCGTGCGAGCGTGCGTGCGTGCATGCGTGCAAGCGTGCAAGCAAGCGTGCGTGCGTGCGTGCGTGCGTGCGTGGGTGGGTGGGTGGGTGGGTGGGTGGGTGGGTGGGTGTGTGTGTGTGTGTGTGTGTGTGTGTGTGTGTGTGTGTGTGTGTGTGTGTGTTTGAAACTTCTGTTCCCAAGAAGCGTAGTTCCTAGGTTAGGCTTACTCTTTGCACTGTTCAGAGTGCTGTCCACTTTTCAGCAGGGGGCCCAAGGGCTACTGGATGGCTTGGGCCAACGAAGACCCATCCAGTAAGCTGTGAAAACGTACCTGCAGTTTCACCCAGCGAAGATTTCGTTCTGCAAGTGATTGCGGCAATGTCTAAGAGGTGATAAGCAAGTTGCTGAGATGCTGAAGCTTGAAGTAGGCAAGCTTCGAAGATGATTGATCTGAAGTTACAGACAGACAACAAGACAGATTAACCCGCAGAAACACATCCATTTTGACAACTCGCTTGACAGGCTCATCCGAGTGTGCCTCGGTCAGTGATTCTGTCAAAGGGCTGGCCGTGATGGGCAAAATGGCCCGCTGATCATACCCTGCAAGATAGATTCGCACCCCTGTGGATTAAATCTTGTGGTTGTGTGATTATGATGTTGTGTGGCCAAAAGGACGTCATCATACCCCGTGAGCTTACCCATTCTATTACACCCAGAACTCCAGATTAGACCCCAGACGAACAACAAACGGTGCGGCTGTGCCCCGTTAGCATTCGATCACACCCAACAGCTGAACATACCCAATTCAGATGGTTTGATCATACTGATTATAACCTCAATTCGTGTAAAGAGG